CAGCTTGAGGGGGAGCGTTAGAATGCTCGAGTCAGGGGTATTTTGGTCATTCTGGTGTATCTTATTGAAAGTGAAATGTCTATTGTATCTGAATTTAAGTTATGTGTCCCATCTTCTATGAGGGACAACATTGTCTTTCTTGTAACTTAAGTTTTATGAATAAAAGTCAAGTGGGTCGGCTAGGAGAGTGAGACTTTCACTTTTTTCTCTTCTAGTCTAGCCGAACATTCTTCTCCTTTCTCTTTTCTTTCTTCTTCCTTCTTCTCTGCTTTAACCTAGAATGAACTAGGGTTTATTCACATTCATCAATATGATCAATAGGATCATTCAAAAGAGTTAATTTTTATGCGTAGGAGATTCCTTATGTTGAAGCTATAATGGTGGGCTATGATGCCATTAACCATCAAATACTCAAAAGAACTTCACCCTGAGGAGGGTCTCTTCCTTTCACTCTTCTGCATAGGCATTCTCATTTAAATAGCTAAGGAATAAATAAAAATAAATAAGTAAACAGAAAAAAGATCTTAAAACATGTTTTTTTACTATATAAAATTTAGCAATTACAGTGATAAACATGGAGAAGAACTAATGTGAAATATTTATGAGGGGAAATGAAACAGATAGCTACTTTAAGTATAAACTGGAGGGCCATGGGAACAAAAGTAATTATGTACAGTCTCAAGCTTGAGCAAGTGATGATTGAATGCTTGAAGATTACACTGACACACAGGGAAACATCAGCTTCTTATGTATTCCATGGCCTCAAAACCATTTAGTGACATTTAGCAGGTCATGGGTCATGATGAAGAAATAGCATAAAATCAATCTTATGAGACTGAAATTATTGCTTAGCTTGATATCTGATTGTGAACTCAATTAAGTTCCTGGACAGTTACATAATCAGTGACTTCTTCAACATGATGATTTTAAGGACTCAGTTTGCAGTTTTGTGAAGGGAGGAAGCTATTATTAGAAACCATCTTGTTTGCCTATTGTGAAAATACCTGAGATGTTGGACTATCATTTAATGATTGTACAAGAAAATCTTGTTTCAAATATCAACTTGTTCAGACGAAGGCAAGTATATATGGTCTTGACTTTTCTGCAGACTATTTATGATGCTTTAACTCCTTGTCTGAAAAATGCAAATGACTGTATGGTTGCAATCATCAGAACAAGTTTTTTGATGTATTGACGCTGATCTGTCCCACACTAATGGTAGAACATGCCACAGTACCTTCTTCCCACCATGACATTGTTGTGCTTTCTTTTTTTTTTTTTTGCTAAGTAAAAGGGTGGCACAAATAAAGGCAGTATAAGATGTGATAAAAAGAATGGATAAAAGAAACAAAGGTAGTATAAGAGAGACATCTCATTGGTGAATGAGAATACTAACCGTTTCAGGGCTGCATTTAGATCATGCTCCTCTTTATAGTTAAAAGCATCATCAAACCCAAACTTATTCTTCAAGAGGTCAACCTGAAGGTTTTAGCAGCTTGAGGATGAGTAAAAAGGGTAGTAGCATATATCCTCTGTAAGACCATAATCCATCATGCATGCATATTTACCTTTTCTTTGCTACCAGCACTTCCAACTACATAGCAACCCATCAACTTTGCAAACTGCCCAACAAGTTGCCCAACAGCCCCTGATGCTGCTGACACATAGACAGTTTCCCCCTTCTTGGGAGAGCATATCTCATGAAATCCTACATATGCTGTAAGACCTGGCATACCTGCAAAACAATGAAACAATGTCAAGTTTATCGACCAAGTTCAAACCATAGTTTGCATTCATGAAATAAGAGACAGCCAACAGATTATTAGCCGGGAGTATGAAGGGTGGGGGAACAAGGGAATTAGGGAATTAAGGAATAATGTATCCAGGAAACTGTTTAAACATAAAAAAGCTAAGGTCATATGGTATTTCAGTTTCTGAGGTAGGAAAATCTACTGTGATCTGTTACAAGTTGCAGAGTCTAGGAGGGCTAGGGCAGACAGGTTGTGAGAAATGACTCAGGAGAATACAGTTTAGCTGACTCCATATAGCTGGGATAAGGCTTAGTCAAGTTAAGTTGAAGTAGGGAAATCTACTGTAGTTGGTCTTAAGCCGCTTTATGTCAATAAAATGCAAGTGTCCACAACAGTAAGGACTAACTGTTACAGCCAAAAGTAGTACAGGAACCAAATAATTCAACTAATCGTCACATATATTGTTAATAACTAACCAGTAAAACCAAAACATTAAACATAATTTTCTCTGATAATCATCATGATGGGATGACTAGCCACGACGGTTCACCAATCAAAATGTCAGAACCAGTCAGGAGTCAGGATTTGGCTTCTAAAATTTAAGGTAAACAACATAAAATTGAACTACACACATGTAATCTCTTCTATCGTAGCACAAAGTGTAACAAGTAATGAACGAAGCAAAATTACAAAGATAAACTCACCCAGGATGCCAGTGTAATATGAAAGAGGCACATCAGTATGTTTGATTTTAAGTAATCTTCGCGGATTGGAGACCAAACTGAACTCTTCCCATCCAGTTATCCCCCAAACCAAGTCACCAGCCTTGAGATCTGGGTGTTCTGAGTCGACCACTTTAGCTACACCATAACCATATATAACCTGAAACAATCCAAGAAGAAGTATCCGAAGCTTAAATAAATTCAAGCTTAAAGTAAAAAAGACCCACCCTATCAGAACTTTGAAATCAGCATTTGGGAAATTGGGGGGTCAGAGATCTTAACAACGTACCGACCCAGGAACGAAAGAATCAGCGTAATTTTGAGAGATGGGCTTTGACATGCGACCTCGCATGTAAGGGTCACAGGACAAGTAGATATTCTTCAGAAGCACAGCTCCAGACCCTGGTGGAACCTTGGAACTCGTTGTGGTGGATGTCAGCACCATGTCCGTCTCCTTTGGGAACCCGCTGACGTAGTCCTTGAGCAAAATCTGCCTGTTGGGTACGACTTTCTCAGTTGCCATTTTAGTCCTCTCCCCCAAAAAGGAGTCTGCTTCTGGTCTCAAATCGGTATGGTTAGCTAGCGCATTTCATCGAACACGTTTCATTCCTATTTATTGAAGGGTCTGAGCTCTGTATACGTCGCAGCTGACGTGAATGCACGAAAATGGTCGGTCCCAATTCCACACCTCAAAGCTGAAATGAAGTTTTCATTACAACAACCAAACCATTGATGGAGGGACACAAAAGGCAAATTCATCAAAACATGAATGTGGTCATTATACACGAGAAGAATATGTATTTTGTATTCATCGCCATCAATGTAAAATGAGTGTGAACGGATCGATCGAAAGATCCAAATGAAGCAACGCTGAGCATCTCGCTGACACTAGAGGAAGAAGAATTGTTGCCGATAATCGTATTGATATATATTTGGGAGAATGACCAATCAGCCTAGATCAGAATTTTATAGCCCAAAATAAGGGGGAATGCATATGACCATGAATTGATGTCAAATTCACGGGTAGAATGTGGTTTATAGGGGAAGGGCCACTAGTAGAGGGGCTGGAATTCAGAATTCTGCATCGGATGTATCCATACTTCTCCATATATATTTTGAGCCTTTTGTCATATTTATGGGACCTGGGTGAGTGTGAGAGATTACATAATACCCGCAAGGGTGAATGGTTGGAAGGTTGGAAGCCACAAAAATTTTATTTTTAATCTCTTATCTTCTTTTATATTAATGTGATGTGAAGTTGGAAGGAAATGATGATTGATGATTTGACGTGGTCCAACAGTCCAAAGCTGCGTTTCATTGTTCAATGGGTAATAGGGTATAAGGGCAATTTTTGGAGTTTAATATTAATAAAAGTAATATTTTTAAAAAATTTAAAAAATAGATTATTTTTTTTAAAATAATATTAATAAAGGACAAAAACACTGTTTATCATATTCTTCTTGTCATTTGTTTAGAGCACCGCCACCTGCCACCACCATTCGCTGTCGCCCATCGTCACCTTCGCCTTCGCCTCCGGCAACGTTGCCGGAGGTGGCCGAAGACAGAGGTGGCGGCGACGATGCTAGTGGTCATTCCTCTGCCCAGCGCTGCTGCCGCCACCGTTGTCTCCACCCACCTCCGGCAACATTGCCTGAGGTGGAGGTGGAGGTGGAGGTGGGCAGAGGTGGCGACATTGGGCAGAGAAATGACCACCAATGTCGCCACCGCCACCTCCGGCAATGTTGCCGGAGGTGGAGGCGGAGATGGGCAGAGGCGGCAGTACTCGTGAACAAATGGCAAGAAGAAGATAATGAACAGTGCTTTTGCCCTTTATTGATATTATTTTTAAAAAATTAACCTATTTTTGAATTTTTTTTAAATATTACTTTTATTGATATTAAACCCCAAAAGTTGCCCTTATATGCTATTATCCCTTGTTCTATCCAGGTGACCCTATTGATGACACCTGTGTTATCCATTGCTTGGAGCCTAGGACCAGGCAAGGTGTAGTAGTGTCTAGTTGCATTGTCCAGGCTTCAAATTAAGAAGCAAATGGTTGAATGATTGCACACAGTCTGGGATCAAAAGCAACTCATTGTTAACAGAGTTGAGCATATTGAAACTTAAAAAGAAACTTCAAATTAATAGTTCCTTCAAAATATTCTGTTTTGGTTCTGTTTTTTGTATATTCATGTAAATATCTTATAGCATTTTGATGTGTACATCAAAATAACTACCATTTTGTACAAATTATGTAAATATCTTATAGCCTTTGGATGCACATAAAAACAAACTTCACAGCCTTCATTTTGAAACCTTTTCTTTTTTATCTTCATTGCTCCCTCTTGTTAGTGATATCCTCTTTATTGCAAGGACATTGAACTACTATGTCTAGGAAGAATTCCCAATTTTTGTTGGTGTTCCTGTGTGGCAAATCGGGTTCGACATAAGGTTGCTAAGTTGAGAAGCAAGAAAGTTTCCAACTTATAGATGATGTTTCAAACTACTATAAAAGCAGTTTCTCCACCTTGGCATGCCAAAGTTCAAGTAAATGTTTATGCATCTCCATTTGACTAATTAAGTAATTCTTCTCAACTACGAATAGTTAGTCAAACCACCTTTTTTATGCCAAGTAATTAATTTTAGGATCAATTCTATAGTTTCTTTATAAATATTGAATTCACTTTGAATGAAGAAATATGGAAATGCTAACACTTAAATCAAAAGATCACTACAAAAAATTATTATTTTCATTCCATCTAGGATCAATCCTTAGATTTTAATTTATGACTAACATAAAATATTATGATTGGTTTGTAAGGTTTGCAAACTCAAGAGTGGCATGTAGATAACTGGAAAGTGATATGCAGTGGAAGAATGCCTGTTTTGCAACAACCAGACAAACATCTAGAGAGGAATAATGAAAAATCAAATGAAGATATTTCCACTTAAACAATTTCATTAGCAATTATCCAAGTTATGAGCACTATTATAATATAAATTTCATCTAGAACAGAACATATGGTAATAACACATTTAGAGTTTGAGTTGAAACAAACATATTGCACATATGTTACATGCATAACAATAGTAAGGGTAGTCCAATGCACACCACCCACTTTCCATTTTTCTTTCTTTTTCCTTTTTCCTAACTTTATCCACTATAAAGCCTATATACATAGTTGAGAGAGACTTAAGGCCCAAGTTGTGACCATCATAAAGAAATAGATGAAGCACAAAGACCTAATTGTACACATTTGCAAGATTTACCACAAATCATCAACTGCCACTGGATAAGGGTCATCATCTTCTTCTTCCATCTCTATCTCTTCTTCTCCAAACCCAAATTTAGCTAATTCAATATCAGCTAGGTTCTTCAGGTCAACCACAAAGAGTTCATCAAGGTACCTCACAACCATGTTTGCAGTTCGAAGTTCATACAAGGGATGTTTGCTTGCAACATCTAGTATGAAGTTGAGAAGCTAAGCTGCATACATGAACATTTCAGGATTAGGCTCCCCCCTATGTACATCCTCTGCTGTGACAATCACATTGAAAAATCCTTCAATCCCAATAGCTCCAATTGCAAACTCAAGTGTCTTTCTTGGACCGGTAAAAACCAAAGCCATCAGGATCTTGTTGTTCATCAGAACATTCACGAATTCTTGTGAACCTGCATGCAAGCTATAGATCCCACCTTGCAAACCTTGGTATATTTCCTCCTTTCTCCAATTAGGATCACATTTATGGTCATTCTTTAATTTGGAATGTGCTTCAATTTTGAGTTTGTATTTTCAAAAATGAAAGGAAGCACCCAAAGTTGTTTCATACAATTGCTCTTTCTACTTGAAACATGAAAATAACCTCAATTATAAACCCATTTCAATCCAAGTGTTTAGTTTGTTGGATTTCGAAGATAATCAGAATTATTGCACTAATGAGAAAAAAATTGAACCAAAATGCATGTCGGAATACTTCTCAATAGCATCATCCTTTTCCCCATCTCAGTGCTCATTTCTAACATTTGTTTTTTTCTTGAATGTAACTACATTATTTTATTGATTTTAATTAGATTTTATAAATATATAGATTTTCTATTTTGTGTTTTTTGTTGCTATTTTTTCTTATTAAATTAAATTAACTTTTTTGTTTTGGTTTATCAATAGAATATTGAATCATGAATAAGATTTTACGGTTTAACATGTATTTTGATTTTTTTCCACTATAAGTCAAATTTCTTATCTTTCTTTTTTTTTTCTCTTGTGAAAATATGAAAATTATGAGATTTCAAACCCTTTTCTAGAACAGCAAGGTACCTTATAGAATTTAAAGTTTGAACCCATTTATCCTTTTCGCATTTTTTCCTTGATATCTAATTTAATAGGACTTTGTGTGTGTGTATGATAGGTGCTTGCTATCAACTCCAAATTATATGAGCTCGAACAATCCTCTTTAACCGAAGGTGTGTTTTCGTGATCTCAATCCATACTTTATTTCTCTTGTAGTTTTCAAATAGTTGGTTCTCAGACATGTATTAGGACTTTGTGTTGTTGCTTTTGGGATCCCATGGTGTAGTTTGGATGATTTAGATGCTAAAAACCAAACAAAATGAACATTTTGATGATTGCCTTAGCATCACTTGTCAACATTTATTATGAAATGCTAAAACATTTTTGTTTTAAATGCATTGATAGTTAAAAGGTGTGGCAACATAATTACATTGGTTAAATAGATCATTTTCCAGAATCAAGTATGTTTCAAACCAATTTAGAGGTGGTTTGATAATTGCTGAAATAACTGAACCAATTTCTGTTGAAAATTAAGAAGAAAGTCTACATATTTTTAAATTTGATCAAAGACAAACTAAGAAAAGGATCTCAAATTCTATTAATCAAAATGCTTCAAAAAAATCAGATATGAAATTTATTTGGGCACTTCAAGACTTGTACAATTCTATATTGGTTTGAGGAATCAATGTTTGCAATAACCATGGCATCATCACAGGGCAACAGTTGAAGATGTACTCAAGCTATCTAAAGATTCCTTGCAGGGCATAGCATCAATATTGATTATATAAGACCAAAGAATAGCATCAATATTCAATGACTAAAAAACTACATTAAGCTAACTAAATAACTTTAAAAAATTATCAAAATTTATCCATTCAGCAACACAACATGGTGGAACATTAAGCTGCTTAAGTTTGTGAACTTCCAAATGCCTAAGATGCTTCCTAAATAAGAGATTTCTGCAATACTTAGCCTAACCTACTTGGTTTATCCACTTTTCAGCCTAAGTTCCTAATTACAACTCCAAGCAACATGTGTAGAGCTTCTTTAGAGTCAACACACCTAGGTATGATGCTTAATGATGGCCTGTCATCATTTTCTTGATATTCTTGGATCAAAAAATCATAAACACCCAGCCCAACTTCAACTAACATGATGTTTATGTCTTTTTCAAGCATATGATAGCCTAAGAAAGAGCACGCATGCCACATCAACCACAGTCAGCTGGCCTTCCAATTATTCAAATACTCTTTGATTAACTACTTTGTAGCATTTGCTATCCTCCTAAATGGGTAGTTTCTTATAAATGAGAAATCTGGAGTGCTTCCTCCATAAAAATTGTAGGATCAATAGTCTTCTATTTATCATGAGTATATTTTCATTAGTTGAATTATCTATCAAATTAAATCAATTCCATTCAAGATTTTGTTTGATCTTAAATTTAAATTAAAGATTCTTTTTGTTTATTTTTTGTTTACTACTTTCTTTTAAAGGAAATTATATCACATAATTGTCGCATTTTTCATTTACATAGCAGTTGTTTTCCCTTTTGTTGCACCCGACTTTGTTAAGATCTATACCCGGTTGTGGCATCATTCATTGGTTCAAATTTCCTGTGTACCACACGGGCCATTCTACTTGTACTTAAAAAAACACAAATATCTTATTCACCACTCCAATGCAACATCTACTAACTCATGTAGCTAGTCTTGGAACTCTAACTCAAACAAACCGAACTTTTATCGAAATTTAAAGGTAAACAAAATGAAGTGATTGAAACTGTTATGTAGAGATAACTGAAAGTTCTGGAAACATGAAGTGTTTAGAGAACTATTTATTAAGATATGCAAGTAAGATTTAGAGGATTATTTCTAACATCCCCCAACAAAGATGGTCATGTCAACGATTATATCCAAGTAAGATTCACCTCTCTGAAGTGTTGATCATTCTTTCAATTCTAGTACAACTTTTCTTTTTGAATATCTATACTACTTTAAAAAGCACCAATAGCCCCTAAAAATTTATGGAATCTTAGTTGGACAAATTTTGCCCCTTTGTGTTAATGTTTTCATATTTGAATTTGAAGACAAATTTAATATTTTGTTTATTATTTTAAATGAGTTACATAAATAAATTATAACTGAAATTTCATGGAGTGTTTAATTAGGGATATATTTATCTCTCTTTTATTTAATAATGAATTGTAACTGAAATTTAATGGAGTTTTAGCTAGATGTATTTCTCTCTTTTAATTAATATTGAACAAAATCTTTGCTATTTGATCATCTTTAAAGTAGGTCCAATTGTCACTATTTAATGATTTTAAAATGTGGGTTTTGGGTGTGGCTCCACATTTTTGACTACGGTTTTTGGCAAGGTTTTAAAAATTGACCCAGAAATGGAACCACTTTGACCATCGGTTTTTGGGTTAGTGGTTCAACCATTTGGGTCGAATAGTTCGACCCACAACATTAAATTTTTAAGAAATAAACCCCATAATGCTCATATTATATTCATATTATAATTTATAATTTTTATTCTTGCCATTCCATTAAAATCAACATTTAAAACTTAAAAGCCTATGCTGGCACATTAATACTAGGAGATAGGGGACTAGGGGGAGAGATAAAAGGTGAGATGTGAGAAGTGAAAGGTGACAAAGAGAAAGTGTATTAAAATAGTAGAATAGAATAGGGGGTAAGGAGGAAGAGAGAGAGACATTAATTGACCAAAAACCTGCAAACCACTGCCCTTGTCAAACACTTTAACGGTTTGACTACCCAAGTCAATGGATTTTGACAAAGTCAATATTTTTTTTTTCATAAAAAGTGGTCCAACCCAAAATTGGACCCAAAACTATGACCAGTTCCTAGGTTGAACAATCTAATCATTCGATGTGATCTAGTTTTTAAAATAGTAGTTTTTTTGTTAGTTTTTCCATTGGTTTATAAGTAGTTTCTACCCAATCTCAAGATGTTTTATAAGGTCTCATCCGAAATATCCATTTCAAAAAGTCATTTTTTTCTAAAAAAATTGCCATATAGGCCTTAAAAATTGATTTCTAAGATTATGAGCATCCCATATTTGGGTCCTCCAATTATTCAAGGCATAATTGATAAGAAGTCTCTGAATAACATCACAACTAAAATTAAGAAGAAAAGTTAGGGTTGGAAATTGAAAACTCCTTTTAAAGATGAAAGAGCTATCCTTATCAAATAAGTTTTGAATGTGGTTCTTCTATTAACTAGGTGCCAACTAGCCAGTTGGTAAGGTCTCTTGGTAGGAGTGAGCATTATTTAGTTAAAACTGAATAATCAAACCGAAAATTTCAGTTTTGGTTTTTTTGGTTTTTAGTTAAATTGGTTTAGTTATTTCGATTTTTGGTTATTTCGGTTTTTGGATTTTGGAATTAGAATTTCGGTTAATCAAATTAACCAAACTTTTTATTATTATATGTAGTATATAATATATAATATGTAGTATATAGTATATTAATATGTAACATATAATATACTAAAATTTGATTTCATAATATATATTTTATAGTATATAATATATAATATATATTATTATATATATAATAAAGTATATATTATTAAAATTTGGTTTTAACCGAAATAACCAAAAACCGAACCGAAAATTTTGGTTTCGGCTATTTTGATTTTGCTTTCGGTTTTTAAAATTTCAGTTTATTTGGTTCGGTTTTTAACTGAATAAACTGAATGCTCACCCCTATCTCTTGGTGGTTGTAGCTGAGAGACTTGGAATCAAATCCCACCTGCACCTAGGTTGGGGGGTTATGGGTAGAGGAGATGGGCTACCCCTATTGTGTAACCCCATGGAACCAAAAAAGAAAAAAAAAATGTAATTCATCTATTTCAAATGTTGTTCAAATAAACATTCCCTAAAAAAGATTGATAAAATTCAAATTCAATTCTTTTGAGGCCCAAGAGAAGGCAAGGGAGCAATTGTAGGACATGTTAAGAAAAGGCTTTACAAATTAGTGACTTTTATTATTGGGAAAATCATTAAGACCCCCTGAAATTTCTAGAAAATATATAAGAAGTATTTTCCTCTTTATGTTAATGCTTTTGTATTTGAATTTAAGGGAAAATCAAGTATTTTGTTGATTGTTTAAAATGATTTCAAAATAGGAAAAATTGAGCCCTCCATTGTTAACTTCTTAGTTCTTACTGAATTGTATAAGAGGACATAAATGAAATTCTTTTATGCATCTTAAATAACTACACAACATGTTTATATATATATATATATATATATATATATATATATAAATATATATATATATAAAGATCATATATAGTGGATCTCTAAATAGACATCTATAAATCACAGAATTTACTGAATTGTAATTGTAATTGTATAGAGTATTTAGTTGGACAAATTTAACTACGTACTCTAGACACTTGGAGCTACATGTTGATTTGTAGATGAATTACAATTTACTTGAAATCTATAACAAGTGACAATAGATCTCTAAGGCTTTTAGACTTTTTATTGACGTAAAATACCCCTCTCTCTCTCTCCCTATGTATATATAAAGATATGAATTGTAAATTGAATACAATTTTTTATTTCATTCCATTCTCATTAAATCTCATATTTAAGATTAACTTCCACTCTCTGTCATTGATTTATATTTAATGTATTTTTGTTTCTCATAATTAAGTTTCATGAATAAAAATTTTAATAGTATAAAAACTTGTATATTGAAAATAAACTTGGAAACGAAATCGGTTTTTAAGTATGATAAATAAGAACAAAATTTTATTAATGATAAAAAAGGAATACAAAATTTAAAACTGTCTTAGCAATGAAACTACTTTCATGTTTGTTAAATGATGGAAATGGAATACAAAAAATATGAAAAGAGAAAATTAATGTCTATTCCATCACCCTACTAAACAAATCAAATGATTCAATAGTTTGATTAGCTAGGTCACCATGTTGTTGATCAAGTCAATGGTTTTTTACAGGCAAGCAATTTGGTGGAAAATGAACCTAAAATCCAAGTGAAATGACTGTTAACTATGACCAATTCTATGCTATTGACCAAATGATCCACTTGTCAAGCAATTCACTGACGCCAGAAATGAGAAATCATAGGAGATTGCTGACAATCGTATGAACATTACAAGGGTAGATGTAATGAAATTTACACAACAGAATTTAATGGTTGAGCCAGTTGGAATTCCTAATTGAATTCTCCCTGCCAAAGATAATGAAATTCAACATTACAAGGGCTCTTTGATATCAGCTTAAGTGGCTGACCTGGAAAGCTTGTTTTTTTCTAACCTTAATGGCTAAAACTGAATATTTTGTCCACTAAATGACAAAATAACAAGTTGTTCAGTTCAGAAACTTCAGCCATTATCAAATGGCTGATGTCTAAAAGCTCAAATGTTCTTTTACAAAGCTACAGGTCTATCTATTAAGATACAGAAATTTAGCACGCATTTCCTGCTGATCGAAATACACTTGAATTAAGGCAACAGAAAATGCTGATTTTCTTGTTTCTTGTTTGTGATGAAAATGCATGATACTGTATCTCTGAATTCTCTAATAAATTCTCCTATTTTGTTGAGGAAGCTGAAGGATATAAACTTGGAAGAATGTAATATCTTCCATCAGCTGATAATGGACCGTTTTTGATGAATCAAGACAGAAAAAAAAAGCAAGATGTCAAATAAGCAAATTTCCAGGATAATCATTCACGAGCAACACAAATGACCTGTTTACCAACATTTTTGCCAGAAAAGAGGCCAACAAGGGAAGCTGGAGCACTTTCTAGGCCTTCATTCATGTCTTCTATGTAGACAATCTTTCCTTGTTTGTAGTAACTGATGATGAGCTCCAAGAAACGTGGGAACAAATGCAAATAGTCGCTCTGCAGAAACCCCTGCATTCTTATGCGCTTTGCTATGAGCATGAACAAGTTGTGAATTCCCTCAGTTTGAGAGAGGCTTTGTTGTGACACCATCCCACAGATTGCTATCCGGCCATGAGGTCTCATGTTAAGAAGGACTGCATCAAGCATAGGCCCACCAACATTGTCAAAGTAGATGTCAATCCCTTGCGGAAAGTATCTGTCCAGTCAGAGATGAGTAGGCAACAATATGAATTCAATCATGATAAAGATAGTTTGTAGCTTAAGCATCCAGAATGAAGAGAATGCTAAAAAAAATGATTCTATATCCTTGGCAACTTGGCAATGAAATCCCTACTATGCCAATCTCAAATTAGAGGGATGCTGATAATTAACTACTTAAGCAACTATTGAGTTAATAAAAGTAATAGCTTTGGTGGTCACTTGGACACACTGAGATAATTTGTCCAAGCAAAGGGATCCTGGAGTTAGAACCTAGTAAATACTTTGCCATGATTTAGTAGAAAGGATTTTCTTGCTTAACTTTACAATCTATGTTCTACTTGTTACAATTGCATTTTAAACCAACAATAAGAAATCGATTTTGGTCATGCCACATGTTACAGGAGGAATAAAGAAAGTGCATGCATGAGCATGACAAGTGAAGATTGCAGCCACTTTTTTAACTGAATGTAGGATAAAATCACATATTTGGAACTCCATATTCTTCATGCACCAAATTGATGGGAAGATCCCCCTATTATTGCATTATAACAACTTCCATGGAGGATTACCACCATGTTGCTTTCTGGGGGATTTGAAAGGAAAGAAATAAGAGATATTTTCTCAGAAGAAGCTAGACCACTTCCAATGATTTGTAGAGACAACTGCTTGTACACCAGATATTGCATATTGGTCTTGACAGAATTTATGGGTTGCAAAGAATTGGTATTAATCAAAAATTTGGATGAGATGACGAGGTACTATGTGGCTTATTTTGATGGTTCAAGTATTCTTCATAACTATATATATTCATTTTGATGCATAAACTCCTTGGCAGGAACCCTATCTTGATCCTTTGTACTACTCTTAAATTTAATTACCACTAATATTACCTTGTTGACTATCCAAGGAAAAAGGGGGAAAAACGAAATTCATGATCCTCACATGCCAATGTAATATGCAAAAGTACTATCTTCCCTTAATAATTGCATAAATAAAAATGAACAATAAAATTTAGCCAAAACCAGAATGGTGAATACACATTAGTGATTCCCTGATGGATCACTGAAACTTAATCCAAGGATCTGAAATAGGTGGGGGGGGAAGCTAAAAATTTAAAAGCTTGAACAATTGATTCAACAAAGCATTCATCCAAAAAAATATTTATCAAAAAAAATAATCCAAAACAAAGAATTAAGACAACTAGAATATGAGAAGACCCTAGATAGTCAGGGCCAGCATTAGGTAATTACCTTTATTCAGAATATGACAAAAGTTCCCCTATGGACATGCAACAAACTTGTCTGGGAATCTGGGCTCCAAGTCTTGGCATTCCTAAGCCAAGTTCAAGTTTCTAAATTCTATTTAAAACCAAATTCTAAGTTTTTAAACATTATTTGAAGTAATGATCCTTCTTTTGCATCCCATGATCCCACCAAATTCATGATATAAGAAGAGTTATTTTCTCAAAATTTCACTACTGAATACAAACCTTCTTAAAGCTGCATTTAGGTCTGGCTCTTCTTTGTAATTGAAAGCTTCATCAAATCCTAGCTTGTTCTTAAGAAGATCAACCTATAATTTTCCATGTAAGTTTTTCTTTTTCATCAGTAAAAAATAAAAAAAAAGCAAGACATCCGCTCTGTTCGATATATTTACCAGTCAATGTAATTCTTAGGGGGGGGAAAACAAAGAAAGAATACATGCAATACTGAAGGAAAACTCACCTTTTGGCTTGTGCCAGCACTTCCAACCACATAACAACCATATAACTTGGCAAGTTGACCAACAAGTTGACCAACTGCTCCAGAGGCAGCTGAAACAAAAACATAATCTCCTTTCTTAGGGGAGCAGACCTCATAAAATCCTGCATAAGCTGTAAAACCTGGCATACCTGCACTAAAAGAAATTATTAGTGACATAACTACACAGGAAACCAGATGATAAAAATAAAACAAAACAATGGAAATGGTTTACATGAAAAAAACAAGTCAATAGATATTACAAACTTCTTAAGAGTTTTTATTTTTGTATTCATATTTCAGCACCATTTGTCACATTTATATACAATCATTTATTTAACTTCTCCTATGTACAAACCTAATTAAATATATAAACTACTTTTGGGAATTAAAGGAAAACTGTAGAAGGCTTGAAGCAACTTTGCATAAATTATTTTTGTTATTGGAATAAAACTCTGAATAGATTGCAGAGAAAATGTAGCCCCCTTCTAAGGTTTCAATTTTATATAGTTGGCTATTTCAATAAGGACGAAGGTTCCTGCTAATTTATACACATCCTCTAGGTTGTTCACAAAAGTAACACAAAACGAACAAACATGCTACAACTAATCTTTTCTAGTTCTTTTGATTAAGTACAAGTGTTAATTGTTTTGTATTTTTTCTCTAATTATGCTTACTAAGGTTCTCGATGTCGGCAAGACAATGGCACTTCCTACTGTGAGATCCAGTTGTACAAGGCTTCCTATGATTATAAAACTTACAACTAATTTGAATTTGAGAAAAACTGAGATAACGGTGAAACTCAAGAGTATACAAATTAGAACTAGCGGTCCAATTTGTAAATGAAGAGCTAGATTCAGTGTCATTTCTTCAAGAAAATTCTTTCCAGATTTACGCTCCAGCTTATAATATCCAAACCATAATCCAATCCAATTGGATCTGACAGTGAATTGCTTGGCAGTATTGCACTGACATAGTATAATCATGAGGCCCCATTTTCAATGTGGTCTGCCCATTGGAACTATTGGAGTAGCTGCTAATCATTCCTAACAGGGGTGATGGACATCCCCACACCCACACAACAAGGAGTTGTGACATTACTACCTCCACCTATACAAAAATAATTGATTAAGAGCATTCAAAAAACAGCTGTATGATATATTTGTAAAACATATGTGCACTGCAACCCAAGAATGAACTCTACCTCACAATTCCTTTACTATTGCCTCTTCTATTCTCTCAATATCTTCAAAAGTTCTGGCATTTCTTTCCATCCATACAGTCCAAATAATTGCCAAAGGCAGCAGTCTCCATACTACTTTCTTTTTTTGCTCAAACCCTTCAACTGCCAACAAGTTAAAAGCTCCACTATAGAGTTTAGAAAGCAAGCATGAAGCCCAAAAATGTCCACACTTTAAACCATAACCTTCTAACAAACAAGTTCAAAACTTGATGATTTGTATATAATACAAACTCCATTTTGGACCAAATAATGCTTCAAAGCCTACACTAATGTGTATAGCTCTTGCTCATAGTAGACCATTTCTTTCTTGCTTCATTACTTTTCACTATAGAAGACCACATGTCAATTCTCCTGAGATAGTACAAAATCTATAAGTCATAGAAGCATAACATTCCACCACAAATAAATCAAAGTTGCACAAAGCAAGTACAGGAGATTTGGTTAGTTTCTCCTTCATCAATTGGAATGCCTCGTCTGCCTCCAGTGTCCACTGAAACTGCCCCTCTTTTAAGCAATTTGAGATAGGACTGACTATGTTGCTGAAATGTTGTACAAATCACCTACGGAAAGTAGCCAAACCATGGAAACGCTGCACCTCATGTACATTTTAGGTGTGGTCCAGTCTCTAATAGCCCTAACCTTTCCCACATCAACCGTAATGCCTGAACCACTAACCACATACCCAAAAAACACAAGCTGTTTGGTCATAAAACTGCACTTCTTAAGGTTGGCAATAAAGCTGATTTTGGAAAAATAGCCTCAGAATCAAGTCTAAAGCATATTGTGTTTCCCTCGATAGGAAGTAATCCATCAGGTAGCTCCTAAGGGAAAATACTACTATATTCTTCAAATAATGATTTCATGGTATTGGGTACACCAGTGAGTGAAGGACCTTTACCCTTGGCTACAATAGCATAAATTTGCCCATCTCCTTTGATTATCCAGGAATCTTTGAGTAAGAAGAAGGGTACGCCCCTCCACTTGAGATGCTTTAGGCCGTTCATTCCCAAAGGTCCAAAATCTTTTGTTTATCTTTAGTTAAAATATAAAAATTATCTCTACCCCTATGACTGACATCATAATAGAATTGCCAAGGTCTTCCCAAAATAATGTGGCTAACATCAATATCCATAACATCAAATAGTAATTCACCAACATGTATAAAGAGAAGGCCACCTTGCACTGTTGGGTCTAATTGGTAGGCCCAACTGCTCTTTGATTGATTTGGCAATGACATTTGCTTTTTCTCCACTATCAATGGTTATGTCACACACTATATTTTTTACTCTACATCATGTCTTGAAAACTTTCTTTTCTTGTGTGTCAAGTATTGGTTGCTTAGCTGCATAAAGGATATGCTTGACCACAACAAAAGTTCTCTCGTCTTCTACAAAAGCCTAATGAGCATCATCTCCTAATACCATTTCATTATCAACAATAGGATCTTCATTCTAAGTTTAAAAATATAGTCTGTCTTCAACCTGTTCAATCATATTTACTCCTCCAGTACATGGTGATAGAACCCAGGTAGGTAATCCGCCATCGGGTCACCAGGCCCAGGCCCATGCGGGCCATGAGGCACATGCAGCAGCAGGAGCGGCACATGCAAAGCATTGCAAGCCTCCCCTGCAATTCATTTACAACCGCAAGCCATGTCTTAACCACCTGCATGCATAAGCGTGTGGTCATGATGAGCTGATTAGGAGGAAAGCCTATATAAGGCCTATGGGTAGAACTGAATGAGCAGAAAAAGCATAACCAACTTAGTTTCTCTCTTCTTCGTCTTCTCTCTCTCTCTCTCTCTCACTCTCTCTCTCTCTCTTCCTCTCCCTCTCTCTCTCTCGTAACTCTGTTTCTAGAGGAAGGAGCTCCCTTGAAGAAGCTTCATCACTGGGAATCCAACAATTGGTATCAGAGCCCCTGATCCGCCATGCCCACAACTCGCAACCAGTCACAAGAAGACAGGATTGACCGGATGGAGGGTGAACTGAGAAGCATGAAGGACGCTCTCTCTGCGGTAGTATCTCAGCTCGAGCGAATGTCATCCCAGCTCAACAAGGAGGTAGACCAAGAGGGATCGAGCAGCGGTGCTCTTCAGCTGAGCAGCACTTTCAACCTCCACAGCCCCAAACTAGTATTTCCCACGTATTCAGGTGACGATCCTTCTCCTTGGATCTATTGCGCAGAACGATATTTTGATTTCCATGAAATTCCGGCCGGTCAGAGAGTTCAGATTGCCTCCATCCATCTTGATGGAGAGGCTAGTCTCTGGTACCAATGGTACCGCCGTTCACACCCACAATTGTCTTGGTTAGACTTTGTGGAGGCCTTGCAAATACGGTTTGATCCTTCTAGCTTCGAAAATTTTGACAAAGCTTTATCTAGAGTAAGACAAACTGGCTCCGTTTGAGAATATCAGGTTGAATTCGAACAACTAGCCATGAGAGTGCATGGATGGCCGGAACATGCTCTCACTGGCTACTTTATTGGTGGCTTGAGGGAAGAGATTAGATTGGAAGTGAAAGCCCTACAACCCCCTATTATGCTGGCCATGGTGAGCCTAGCCCATTTGCATGAAGACAAATTAGCCCGGGCTCAGAGGAACCCACGGCCGGGAATTCTCAGGCCGGGCCGGTTCCCAAACCCTTGACATCTAAAACCGAGCTAACCCCGGCTCAACCAAACCCCCCGCCGGCCCCCACTGTGAGAAAACTCACCTGGGCCAAGATGCAGGCCTGTCGGGAAAAAGGCTTGTGCTATAATTGTGAGGAGAAATTTTCTCTGAGACATAAGTGCAAGGCCCAGCAGATGTTCCTTGTTCAAATTATTGATAGCTCAGTTGAGAATGAAGATGTGGATACCGGACCCATGGTCCCTGACAAGGCGGAAGATTCCGTCGAAGAAAACCCAGAGATCTCACTCCACACCCTAACTGGGCTCCACTCCACTGAGACTATGAGAGTGCATGGTGTTCATCTTAATTGATAGTGGGAGTTCCCTTAACTTTATCACTTCAGACCTGGCTCGACAAATGGGCCTAGAGGTACAGGCGGTTACTCTCTTTGTTGTTAAGGCAACTAATGGACAGCAGATACCTTGTGATGGGCTGTGCAAGGCCGTGGGCCTTGGAATTCAGGGCCATGTGTTCAGCATGGACCTGTATCCCTTGGATTTCAGTGGGGATGACTTAGTCTTGGGGATCCAATGGCTTAAACTCCTCGGGCCAACAGTATGTGATTGGACCCTCCTGACTATGGATCTCTGGATGAATGGGAAGCAATGTCATTTAAAGGGGATTGGACCAACTGAACCAGCAGCCTGTTCAGCGCGGCATGTTGTCAATTACAGCCTTCACTCCAATGCAACAACCCTGGTCTATCTAGCTTCGTTGGGCATAGGGCCCAATGTTTATTGTGACAACGGAACCTACAAGGTGACAAAAGATCCCATTTTACAACAGCTCCTAGCAGCATATCAAGATGTCTTTGGAGAACCAAACGGCCTACAACCTGTACGCAATCAAGATCACCACATTCCTATTCAGCCGGGGGCCCAACCCACCAATGTCAAGCCTTACAGATACCCACATGTTCAGTGGGCTGAAATTGACAAAATAGTCATAGAATTGTTGTCCAAGCAACTGATACAACCGAGCCACAATCCCTATTCTTCTCCCTTCTCGTCAAGAAGGATGGAACGTGGCGTTTCTGTGTTGATTATCGGGCCCTCAATAGCATCACTATGAGGGACAGATTTCCCATTCTATTAATAGATGAGCTATTTGATGAGTTGAAGCATGCTATTTATTTTTCCAAATTGGACCTATGATCCGACTACCATCAGATCCGGGTCCATCCAGAAGACATCCACAAAACAGCCTTCAGAACCCATGATGGCCACTATGAATTT